TATTAACATAAATGGTCTCTGTATATATATATACAAGTGGAACAATAGTACAATTGCCAATAACATTGCGGAAAAAAAGGTAGCAAATACAACAACACATGCTCTGTTTGATACCAAGTAAAAGCTTTTTTTTTCTATACATACTAAGTCATCGATGGCCAGGACTCACCAGAAAAGTAGATAGATCCTTTTAGCTTTTTGATTCTTCTAAGTGAGGCAGAGTCATCATCGATGCTTACACAGGCCTGACCTGAGAGATAGTGATACAAGAGGCTGTGTAGACGTTAACTGGAGCTAGCTTGTGCTGGAAGCAAAGCAGCTCGTTTTCCGTTGATGAACACTGCAAGTTCCTCTGAGGGCACTACTCTATTTAACCATTTCTGCAACTCTTCACCTTCTACTTTCTCTTCATCTGAAACCAATCACATGTTTTCAAACAGAGTCAACTACTTGAGGAGCTATATAGATTATGAGACAAGGCCATCAACATGTGATTCTAGTGACCATATCATGCCATGTTGTGGTGATACCATTTGAATGAACCAGCCCATCTCAGAGATTATAAGCCAAAACTAGCTGTTGTTTAGAAAACTGGTCTTATGTTTTGTTTGAGTAAATATGGTATCAGTATCCAGATGTGTAATGTGTTACCTTCCAGTTGAGCACCGAGCCCTTCTAATACATCTGGATTAGCGCGAACAACAGTCAACGCAACATCCAGAGCAGATTGCAACAAATTTGTCACCTCTCTTTGAACAAGATCAACTAGATGCCCCTGTGAATTCAGCATGACAGATTAAGTTTGCTTTCCATTTTGAACAAGACCAACTAAAAGTTTAGGCAGAATAAAGTTACCTGATCTCTTCCCCATGGTGATCCCCCAGAGTCATCAATCCCACCAGCAGAAAGCGTAGCCACAGAGACGGGTCCGATTTTCTGGTTAAGACCATATTCAGCTACTGCCTTATAAGCCATGTCGGTTGCTCTCCTGATATCATCAAGTGCACCTGTTGATATACGCCCCGAGTAAACAACCTCTTCAGCTGCACGACCTCCAAGAAGTGTTACCAAGCGGCCATGTAGTTCATCAATGAAAAGCAAATATCTGTCTTCATGTGTTGGAGGAATGTATGTAAAGCCCAATGCCCCTCCTGATCTTGGCAATATGCTTAATTTCTAAAAATACAACACGACTTAGCAGAGCATTAACGCATGTAAAAATGTGTATTCGGCCTATCCAAGAGGCAGCTCTCATTGTTTTACCTCAACACGGGACTGTCCAGGAAGAAGACTTGCAACAGCTGTACCAACAACAGCATGCCCAGCTTCATGCCTTGCAACCACAGCTTTCTCACTACCTTTTAACCTTGCAGTTTTCTTCTCTATGCCCTGAAACAAACGATGCAATGTAAGGAAACATATTGTGATGAGCTGTTCAATAGACTCAGAAAGAAAAAGACAATACCGCTATAGATCGCTCGACAGCCTGAATGAAGTCAATTTTTTCAACAGTCATCTTGCTCTTCCTTCCCGCTAGTAAAGCAGCCTCATTAACTAGGTTCGCAAGGTCTGCCCTATAAAAACCAAACATGAAAGTTAACGAGATTATACAGCAAAAAGCAGGTAAGACACTTTCGGGTCATGAATAAAATACAAATTTTTACCCAGTAAAACCGGTTGTCATTGAGGCAATACTAGCTAGGTTGACATCATTTCCCAAAGGAAGCTCTTTCTTTGAAACATGCACTTTCAATATGGATTCTCTTCCAACTTTGTCAGGTGATTCCACCTGAAATTAAGTGTCAGATAGCTTTGATAAAGTATTACATTGCATGATCATTTAAAATAAGCAGAGCCAGATATTCTACTAACCGTAACAACACGATCAAATCTCCCAGGCCGACGCAGGGCGGGGTCTAAGACATCAGCTCGATTGGTAGCTCCAAGAACAATAACTGCTGAGCTACTGTCAAAACCATCCATCTCCTGTAAACCAGTTCCCAGCTTATAAATGGATAATGCAAAGATCTAGAAAACAACTCTGGCAGAAAAAGTGCATATGATTACAAACTTACAGTGAGCAACTGATTCAAAGTTTGCTCTCTTTCATCATTGCTGACCATTCTGAATTTACCATCACGGCTTTTCGCGACAGCATCTATCTGAAAAATGAAAGAAAAACAGATACATTTGTTAAGATTAACATCGATACAAAGTACAGCAGGTAATCAAACACTGATTTTGTATTCACACCTCATCTATAAATATAATTGACGGAGCCTCCTTCTTGGCCCGTGCAAAAAGATCCCTTACGCGTGAAGCACCCATGCCAACATACAGCTCTACAAACTCACTTGCAGAGCAACTTATGAAGGGGACATCAGATTCCCCAGCAACAGCTTTTGCAAGAAGGGTTTTCCCTGTTCCCGGGAGACCAACCTACCAAAAAGGGAAATAAAGCCATAAATTTTAAACACAATAACCAAACATTGCGCATAAACTCTATCTAAGAAATGACCAAAGTGGTAACCACATTATTTAACTCACCAATAAAACACCACGAGGGGGGCGAGCACCTAGACGGACATACCTATCAGGATTCTTGAGAAATTCCTGCAACAGTTAAGCCAAGTGTTAGAGAAATTAACAAGATCAAGAACAAATATGACTACAGCATCTATAAGGACAGATGAACCTACCACAATCTCTTCCAGCTCTTCCTTTGCTTCATCAACACCAGCAACATCTGCAAAAGTGATTGTTTCACCTTCACCAGAAACTTTTCCCCCACCAGGACCACCAGACTTGCGTGTCCTCAGTTGTCCCGTTGTACTCTGTGTATACCTCATAGCTTTTAAGAAAAGTGCACATGGCCTTAACTTAAACAACCACATTACGGTATCATGAATGTGCAAACCTGGGAAAAGTTAACAGGAAATCGGTGGAGAAGCCCTGCAAGCACTGCAATGTAGAATAGAACTATCTGAAACAACAAAAGCAAGAAAAGAGAAAACCTTTTCACTTTTAGTGTTTCCCAAAGCCAACAAGCCATTCTAATTCACGGTCTTACCAATCCAGAGTTGAAAAAGCCACCAGAGCGCTTATCAGGCGACCCGAATTCCACATTATTCTCAAGCATTTTCTCGTACGGCGTTTTAATATCCCTCGGCCTTGTGGTGGAATATACAACCCTTTTAGTCGGAGCCACACTTCTAAGCATAGTCTCAGACGACTCAGAAAGCTTACTACCACTAGTTTCACTCTCTTGCAAATTCCCATCATCTTTCAACTTAAACAAAACATGAACACCATCCACCTCCACTTTCTGAACCTCATCATTGTTAACTTTACTCAAGAAATCACTATACGGTACACTCATAAACGTCGTCTGTGTGCGAGGCTCCGAACCCGGTAACGGGATTCCAGGTCGAAGCAATCGCACCACAAACATAACAATACCCAATTGTAGTAATAAAACACCAATCTCCTGCGCTTGAATAATCGGTTCCCACTGCCATTTCTTCCCTTTAGACCACCATAACCCATTCTTACCTTGCTTCCCTCCTTTCTGCTTCGACGAATTCGAATTCGTCTTTCCTTCTCCTTCACTTGAGCTAGCTTTCTGATCACCTTCTTGACAATTCACAATCGTTCTACTACTAGTACTCTTCTTCCTCGAAAACCCTTGCCAAAGATTGAACCTTTCATGGTTTATCGACCCTGTAACTGATTGAGGAAGTTGAATTGAATTGGAGACAAATCGATTCGGATTCTGACGAAAACCAAAAGACCGATCTCGGAAAAAGCTCGAAGCATGCAAATACAATAAACTACTAGTACTACAACAAGTTGAGAATCGAAACTTATCGTGGATCAATGGACTTAGCAATTCGATTGAAGTCATTATTTTTCTTTCGAAACCCTAGAAATTGAGGAAATCAAAGGAAGACATTGCAACACATTTTTGGGTTTATCTAATCTTCTTTTTGGGTCACCACACTACAGAACGCGAGGTTTACTGGGAACAACGACTTCGAATGTGAACCGTTAGATCGAAGAAAGAGAGTTATCTGCACCGTTGATTACGCCGGAGTTCGGTTTTGTAAGAAGATTATCTGGAAGGCGAGAATCCTGTGTGGCGAGATGTATAGAGAGCAATGGTGTTTGATGTGACGTGGACGAAAGGTAATGGTTGATGAGATCTCAGGTTTTCTTCCTGACCACAGGTTTTAAACGATGGATATGGGCCACGAATCTGGTTTTTGGCCTCATAGTCATAGGGCTCACAGAATGGCCCAAAGGATAATCTTCTATTTCATGGCTATAAATTTTCTGAATATTTGTCAGAATTACACATAAGAATTTGTTTTTTTTTTAATCTAAAATTTTTAAATTTTTGGTTCAAGATCCAATTAGTTTCATAATATACTTTCGAAGTTTTTTGCCACATTTTTCCCTAAAGTTTTTTCAGTAACTTAATACCAGAAAAATAGATTCGTTACACAAAAAAAAAAACTCTCTCGTTAACAAAACCAAACTTGTTTTCTGTTTTGTCGTTTTAATTCCCTCTTGTGACAAATAAACAGGAGAAAATAAAAAGAAAAAAATTTAGAAAAGTTTAACATCCTGAAACAGAGGATCTCCAGACGATATATCTTCTCTAAATTTGGAAACTCCATTTATCAATTTTTTTTTTCCTTGATGCCAAATTCTTTGCTAGATCTTTGAAAGAAAAAAAGATCTTGTTTCAGTTGATTTCATCTTTTGATTATATGGAAAATGGGCGTTGACGCGAAAGAGATCATCGTAATATTATGGAAAATTCTTGGATATTCGATGAACATGAGCATCAAATTCATGAGAAACCACCCAATATTGTCAGGGGTTTCAATGTTTTTACTTGTGCTATACATTTTCCTCCCTACTCTCTTGTTCTTCTTGATTTACTCGTCACCGGTTCTTGCATGTGCTCTAGTGTATGCACGAGAAAAGCTAGGATTAAGATTCTCAAGTTCGTATTCAGAGCCAAAGAAGAGTTGTGGTGGAGAAAAGAGATGTCATTTAAAACAACAACGAAGTGTCCGACGAAATGCTCGAATGAAAGTTGAAGAATGGGATTCACAAACAAGCGAGGAAGAGAAAGACAAAGTTATCTTGACTTCTCTTTACAATGACCTCCTTGGTCGTACTCCTCATTTCGAGGAGTCTCCAAAAGCTTTAGAAACCAATGTAGTAGAGGAAGAAGACAATGAGAAGGAGTTTCTTGGAGAGGAAGATTCTCGTGATTTAGGTCAACTTAACGTTGAAGAACCAATGGTTTGCAACTGTGAGATCAAATATGGAGAATCAGATGGTAAAGAAGAGATGAAAGAGGAGATGAGTAATGTTAATGAGCAGGGGATTTCAGAGATTGAGAGAAATAAGAGACTAGAGAGCTTAATAGCTAGAAGAAGAGCGAGGAGACTCTTTAGACTAGCTTTAGATCAAAGGAATAAGCTTCAAGCTGAAGAAACAACTAGCCCTAGACAGAACAACACCAACAGCCTTCACGTTACGGTTTCGAGGAACTCACTTGAAAAACGTCGAAATAATTCATCAGATGGTACTACTGTTAAAGGATTACCGATTCCAGGCTCAGCTCCTTCTGTGTTGTTACAAGGAAGAAACCCTTTTGACATACCTTATGATCCTCAAGAAGAAAGACCTAATCTTACTGGAGATAGCTTTGATCAAGAATTTTCATTGTTTAATCAGAAAGATATGTTCTTTTGTCGTCATGAGAGCTTCTGTCGTTTTGCTCTGTTTTCACCAGAACATGCTCAATGTATGAACAGCCCAGTTTCTGCTTCAGACATTTCAACTACTAGGAAACGTTTAGGTACAAGGTCTAATATTTTCTGGTTGTTAAATTTTGGTGTTTGTATTTTTGCTCTGTGAATAATGTACTTTTTTGTCTACAGATTTGGACAATGAATATATGGATCATACTGAACAAAATCTCCCATGTAATGGAAAGGGAGCTACAATAGAAGACGACGATAAAAGCGTTGTGAGTGGAAAAAGCGAAGAAAGGGAGGTAGAAATGAATGATAATGAGACAGATTCAAACAAAGAAGAATGTGATGATTCAAGTTGTTCAGAAGAAAGTGAGTCAGAACTCAGCCGTTTAAACAAAGCCGAGCTCAGGGAAGCTATATGCCAATCGATGGATAACAATCCCGGTTATCTTGTGAACCAAACAAGAAATAGTATTCCAACCACATTGCCTAGAGGTTTAGTAGCGCCAAGACTAGATGATAACAACATGTTTTATGCTCGAAAATGCGGAAATTCGCACAGTCGAACATTTTCAGTTGCCTCGGATATGCAAGTTGAGGTTTCAGAGATTGGTTCACCTCCTACAACAGTTGATTGGCTTGATGACTGGTCTAATGGCGGTGAATCTTACATTTATGATACAGATATTGACAGAGAAATCGTCCGCGATGAAGAATCACGTAAGAGGATCTCTCACCAATATGAATCAAGAAGTGGAATAGGATCAAAAGAGGAGAATAATGAGACATGGACTAAACCTGAGGCCAAACCAAATCAGAATTGTGTGGTAGATGAAAACCTTATAACAGTTGATGATGATTTGTCATTGTTAGAAAGAAGAAGCCAAACCGAAGAGATTTTTGAGCAGACACCTTCTAGTTCCAATGATGTGTCCAAGCCTACAAGCTCTGGGAAATTTGAAGGTATGTTGTTCCATACAAGTGCGTCATTGTCGTCTATAACAGAAGAGCCTGAAACAATCTTGGACTCGATCGATGGGGGCAACTCGGAGAATCTGAATAATTTGACTGAAGAACTTACTGACCCGAGACCTCTGACTACTCTGGATTCATCCATGAAGAAATTGATTGATGAAGAAGTGGCTGATGTGAAACAAGTAGAAAATGATGATCTTTGTGGATCTCCTAAGATTATTGATTTAGATATCATTGATCATCAGCAGAAAGACCAAATGCTGAGTAGCATTCAAGGAGAACATGGGGAAACTAAGAGCTTTTTGGATGCTTCTTTGGACACATCCTATATAGAATCATTTGAGAGAGAGTTAGAAGGAGAAGAAGAATCAAACTTAGACAAGCTTACTAAGGAAACAACAAAACAAACAGAAAATGAGGTACATCAAAGTGATTTAGAGAGTTCTCCATGCCAAGTTCTTACAGAATTACTAGTAAGTGAGATTATGGAAGAGAATGGTCAGGAATTAGAAGAAGAAGAGAAACCAAGGTCAGTAGAAGAAGAGAAAACTCATAATGTGGTGGAAGAATCTTCGAGCCATGCTCATACACAGTTGGTTGAAGATTATGGAAACGAAGAAAATGCTAGTGATGTGATACTTCTGCAATTTCAAGATAGTAATAACTCACCACTAGATGAGTCAACTGATCAGGAGGTCTCTAAGGAAGGAGAAAAAACAGAGTTATTGGAAGATTTTTACGGTGAATCTTCTGAAGTATACAAAAATAGAGCGAATGCTGAGGTCTATGGAAACGCAGAAAACGCTAGTGATGTGACATTTCTGCAAGTCCAAGATGGTAATTACTCACCACGAGATGAGTTATTGAAAGATTTCTATGATGAATCGTCCCAAGAATACAAAAATAGAGCTAATGTTGAGGAAGAATCAGTAGTTTTAGCCAACACTCAAAACTCACAAGATTCACAAACATGGACTCAACAGGTTTCACCTTCTATTCTAATCATCTTTAACATATTTTAGACAAATATGAATCCACCAATGATTCATTGAATATGTGATATGATGATACATAATTATCTACAACCATTTACTAAGATAATATATTGTACTAGTTTTTTCCTCTGTTGTTGGTTCTTGATTCTAAGTTTAGTTATTGTTTCTTTATCTATTGAATAGTGTGGTATAGATTCTTCCCAAGGGATATCACCAAGAACGTTGGAGATCACCCAACAACTAGAGAAAGACGATGTTATTGATCCAAATGCCATCTCTCAAGTTATTGATACAGATGAATTTGCTGCAGTAGGCAACGACGTAGCTGCTAGTGAGAGTAATGATGAAGAAATTCTGAAACTTGATGAGCAAGATGGAGTAGCTATGGAAAAGGAACTAGAGCTTAATTTAGAATCACTGCATCATAACACTGGTTTAGTCGCTAGAGAAGACGATGAAGAATCCAAGAAAGCGATAGGGGAAATGCAAAGTGATGAAGTGATTCTGAAACTTGATGAGCAAGCTGGAGAAGTTTTGGAAAAGGAACTAGAGCTTAATTTAGAATCACTACACCATAACATTGGATTAGTCGCTAGAGAGGATGAAGAATCCAAGAAAGTAATAGAGGAAATGCAAAATGCAGGGATCCAAACAACAAAAGACGAAAACAGAGTCTTAGGTTAGTCATAATTCAACAATGGAGAATAAATCACAGATGATCAGAAAATTGTTTCATATTCCTTATGTTTATAATTATAACCAAATGCTTACTATTTTGCAGATGATTAACATATTGATGATACACACAGAATCATGATGAAGAATATAAGTAAAGCTGCCGATAAGGTATACAACACAAGGAAAATTTATTAACTACATTCTTGTCAAAGAAGATATGTTAAGAATTCTTTTTAAATGGATTGATTTTATAACAGGTGAAACATTTTGTTGTATCATTATTTCATGGCCTTTTTGTTTGATTATACAACTTGAAAAGGTAACTCATTTTTTGTAATATATAGAGATGGTTTATATCCTATGAATATACTAATAGAAGAACTACTATAGCATGTATTTTGCTTCTTCTTTTTTGTTGTTAAAGTTGAAGATTATATTAGCAAAACATATTACAACCTAAGCTACCCATATCCAGAGGGAAAAAACGAATCCAATCGAGACAGATTTTCGGTTTACAATGAGTGGTCCTTCGCCGGAAATGAGGAAGAGGGTTTTGCATAGTACGGTCCACAACGGCACTAAGAGCTGCCGGCGTCAAAGAGGATGAAGGCATGAGGTGAACACTATATATAACAAGATTGCAATATGTGTATAAATATTAAACCGTCTAACTACTAAGGAAAGAAATAAATTTAACTATGTTTTAACATTTTTGTCTTTCTTGGTAAGCATCTTCAATTTAGTATATTTTCCATTTTGGCAAACTAAATATCCCCATTTTAATTCTTCTTTCCTAAAATCTCATATTCATTTAAAGGATATATCTCGTGATCTTTGACAACCTTCCATAAACACAAACTAAATCAAACTCAATATATAAAATCTCGCGTATATATTAGCTCAATTCACCCTTATTCCGACCGAAGCTTCAAAAATTGGTTTCCTCATTGAAACTTGTGCTTTGATAATCAAGTAAGGATACTATCTTTTCCATAAACAATTTATACATTTGTTCATTAATTCTGCTCTGGCTCTAAGGTTTTCCATGTTCCATTTGTCTTTTGTTCTGTTGTGGGATTTATTTCGTTTTGAGGGTGTCGAGAATTAGCTCCTAGCTACTTCTCGGATTTTGACTATTGGCTTTGCGTTTTCTGATTTATTTGTGGGTGTGTTTCAAAATTCTTTCGCACTATCGTATGGTTCGTGTGGGGTTAAGGTAGCATATAGAAAAAACATAAACACCTTTAATTTGAGTAGTTTTGATCATATATAATTTGAGTTTTTATTAGACCAAACTATTCACAAAACTCCTTTAAACATACAATATGATTCAAATAATTGTTTTGGCTTGGAGAAAAATACTAGAAAGCCTAAACTCATATAAACATTACAAAACATATCAATTCAATATCTCTGTACTTTGTTTTCTTGGGAAAGTTTATATGTTATTTTTTGTAATATATAACAATAACTCAGGTTACAAAGGATGCCTCCGAAGAAAGTGGACCTACAAAGGATAGCGAACGATAAGACAAGGATAACAACTTACAAGAAGAGGAAAGCTAGTCTTTACAAGAAGGCACAAGAGTTCTCAACTCTCTGCGGCGTCCAGACATGTCTCATCGTCTACGGTCCCACGAAGGCTACCGATGAGGTGGTTCCCGAGCCAGAGATATGGCCGAGGGACGAGACCAACGTCAGGGACATCATACGCAAGTACAAAGACACAGTGTCGACCAGCTGCAGAAAAGAAACCAACGTGGAGACTTTCGTTAACGATTTAGGTAAGACAAACGAGGTGGAGACTAAAAAGAGAGTGAAGCGTGAGAATAAGTATTGTAGTTGGGAGGAGAAGCTAGACAAGTGTTCACGAGAGCAACTACATGAGATTTTCTGTGCCGTGGATAAAAAGTTACATGAAGCTGTAATGAGACAGGATCTTAGTATGTATAGGGTTCATCATCAAGCCATGGACACACCAATCCCGCAGAATTTTATGGATCAACATTTCATGCCACAGTATTTTCATGAGCAGCCACAGTTTCAAGGCTTCCCCAATAACTTTAATAATATGGGTTTCTCGTTAATCTCGCCTCATGATGGTCAGATTCAAATGGACCCAAATCTCATGGAGAACTGGAGAGACTTAGCTTTAACACAAAGCTTGATGATGTCAAAGGGAAACGCTGGTACTCAATTGATGCAGATGCAAGCACAACCTTATTACAATCGTGAACCGATTGTACCGAGGTCTGCGGGTTTCAATGTTAATCCGTTAACGGGATATCAAGTCCCGTTTAATATTCCTTGGAGGTTATCGGGAAATCAAGTTGAAGATTGGGAGCTATCAGGGAAGAAACAGATTTGAATGAAGGAGGTTTTAGGGTTTTATAGTTTTTTTTCTGTTGGTTTTTTTATTGAGTGGATGATGGCTTGACATAACAAAAGTCGAGTGTGTTTTTGACATAACATCATCATCTTACATTTTATAAAAGTTTTGGTTTTAGGTAAAATTTTATTAAATACTCAGAAAAAATGTACCACTTGTTTTATTATATCATCAATGATTTTTATATGGTCATCTGTTGGCACTTGTTTTTGACAAAATGGTTTTGACCATTGTTACGGTAGAGTTTCCGGTGAAGACGTTCATCGGAATAACCGGTTCTTGGGCACGATGGAATCGTTGCTGCGAGCACTACGTGGTGGTGTATTGGAATGTCAAAAAGGGAGTTCGTTTGAATGAGAAATGGAGGTCCAAAGTGGTTAGCTTGCTAAGCTTGGAATTTTAACTAAATGTTAATTAGACCACTTTGGAGGTCAAAGGAGAAACCCAAACACATATGGGTTGGATTTGGGATTTGAGATTAATAATATGGGCTTGTAACCCATTAGTTTATTCTTGTTTGCCCTAATCCATATTGAATTATGTTGTTGACTATTTCAAAGAAATATCTCCATGATTGATTTTGTAACAACCTAATTAAGTCTCATGAATTAAGGTTGGAATCAATTTACGACATTAACGTTAGAGAATCAAATTCTCATAACTCACGTATCCTCCTCTTTATGGCATAGACGTTGAGCTTTTAGTATAAAGTCAAGCGTTTGTCTTCTCATTCGGATCATCGATCAAAGCATAAAAAATCTCTCTCTTCTCTTTTCTTCTTTTTTGTTTGTGTCTGAGAGTACAACACAAGACTAGTGTTCGTTTAGCTTTTGATTTGAGTGTTGCAATCAAAAGAAGAAACAGTTTTATCCAGGGACTCTAATTGTCATCAAACCGGCACACTACGGGGCGATTTTTGAGTTAAGGAGAGAGATCATCAACGTTCTCGACTCTGTTTATCACCGTCAATCTCCGTTCTTCAATCGTCCTTTCGGTATTGTTGATTTTTGATACTTGTTCTATATTATTTGTTTTACAAATATTAGATTGTACCCTTATTGAAATATTAAGGTCCTACATCATCTACCAAACTGTCCCAAAAAATATCTATTAGAACTAGTTAAGAATCTAAGATGGATTAATTTATCATTCTACTTTTCTCTGTCGAGTTTTAATTGGGACGGTAAGACATTGACAACTAGGCCTGGGCAAAAAACCCGTACCCGAGTACCCGAACCGGACCCGACCCGAAAAAACCGGTTCGGGGCGGGTACGGGTATGTGAGTTTTACACTGTTGGGTTCTATAATTGCTTACCCGTGGGTATCGGGTCGGGTTCGGGTAAAACCCGAACCCGATGGTGTAAACCGAAAACCCGATCCGCTTAAATGCCCTTAGGTTTAGTCTCTAACCCGATTAATCTTTTGACTATTTAGCTTTTTCCCTTTGCTCGATTCTAGAACCCTAAACCCTAAACCCGATACCCGATGGTGTAAAAAATGTATTCCACAGTGTAAACGGGTAGAAAATACCCGAACCCGACCCGAAACAAGCAAGAACCGATATTTTCGGGTTTTTACCGGTTCTCAAATCTGATACCCGAACCGACCCGAACCCGACCATACCCGAACCGAAACCGAACCGATGTTTCGAGTTTACCCTATTGGGTCCTATATTACCATACCCGACATACCCGAACCCGATCGGGTTTTACCCGAACCCGACCCGCGGACCCGAATGCCCAGGCCTATTGACAACCCGACCCTAACACAAACTACGTACTAGACTATAAATCTTGTCGATTATGTAATTTTAATTTTTTCGTAAAAGCTATTTTTATAAATAAATCTCAAGTTTAATCATTGTTGATAGTTCAATTATAGATATCATTTTAAAACAATGAACAAAAGATATCAATTAATTGAACTATCAACGAAGGTTGAAAAAAGAGATTTATTTTTATGGATTGAATTCCAAGGACTTGTACTTTTTTTATGGATTGAATTCCAAACTCTTTGATTATATAAAAAAAAAGTAAGATTTTTTTTAAGATGTAGTGTCTACTGTCTACATACTATAATGTCTAGAAAAAGGAAAAATGAAATTTAAAAAAAAAATTGAAAAAAAGAAAAGAAAAAAACTATAATGTTTAATTAATTGCACTGTTCTCAAACATTGTCCGTTGTTATAACTTCAACTGGTTGTTGAAAGCATAGTTTGGTTGATTGAGACGAACAATGAATAATGCCATATTGTGATCTATACGTTATTCAAACATTAAACGACAAATATTGGATATTAAGTTAGAGATGGCCAACTTTGTGTCTTTGAACTTTTTCGCTGCAACTTGTATTACATAACTATTCTTTATTTTTTCCCTCAACAACTAACACTGCACACTATCGGATTTATTCTTTTGCTATGCGTCTATCTTATTATATAAAGTATGGTTTTCAAAGTTAATAACTCATGTGATCGTGATACGTGTCAAATCTATCGATCTTAGATTTTGCCATGTGTCAAATAAATATTTCTTTTTTAATAATTAAAAAGGGAAAAAGATAATTACAAATTTAAACAGCTTTAAATGTAACAAGATCACTATACGGAAATTGTACCTATATTTCCATAAGAGATTTTGTCATGTGGAAAATAAAAAATAGTTTTAACAATTTAAAAATTGTAAAAAGATAATTATTACAAAATTATAAATGTTAAAAGTTTTATAATATAAAAAGATTATTATAAGGAAACTATATGTATATATAAAGAAATTTTATGTATATTTTCCATAAAAAAAAAAATAGAAATGATAAAAATTATGCTAAACGTTTTATTTATAAGTTACTAACTGTACAAGAAAAAAAATTTTAAATAGAAAAAATTAAGGAAACTATATGATTTATTAATCACATACGAAAAAAATTGTAAATACTCACCTCTTTATAAACAAATAGATTGTCTCATATTTTCTCACCAAGCAAACTAATTTTTTTCGAAACAACACCATTTCTTTAACTTCATTCTATTAGTAAAGTTTTTATTCTCTTTTTTTTGTCATAAATTAATTTTAGAATAATATTAGTAACTAACCTTTGACTCAAAAATAATTAAGAAAATAGCCATGAGTCAAAAAAAACTTTAGAAAGTAACGTTTTCCAGGGATGAAATATCCCTCAAACAAAAGACAAAACATACATGTAATTGGGATTTTAAAAAAAAGAAATAAACACTAATAACACGAAATCTAAAAATAAAGAAAATCAATACTGGAATTTTTACGACGAAAGAGAGACATCCACTTAGAATCAGAGGAAAAAACAATGTCATTTAATAAAATAGCATATCATACTAAAAGAAATATGAGTAGCATGTGATTGTTAATGGAGGTGACGATGGTGGTGGTTGATGGTTACGGATGTGGTGATAGATTGATTTTAAAAATAACATGAACCATGTAATAATTATATTTATCATTTATTGGAAATATATCATGTTATTTATATATAAAATTACTTTAAATTACAATGGTTTTCTAAAAATGGGATGTGATATTCATATCCAAAGAATATATGGCGATTGAGGCAAATTAAGGAATTATGAATGGCGATGGACATAGACTAGAGTTGTTGTCGGAAAGAGGCTCGGCTGGATGCCAAAGGAGATAAAAAATGAGGAGAAATAAGATCAGTTGGGAAAGAGGAGAATAGGCGGTAATGGTGGTGTTGGTGATAAATAGGCCAACATTTATATTAGATTGTGCATTATGCATAATAAATCTATTTAAAATAATTAAAATGCTGCATTTTCAAAAATTATAAACATAGATGTTTATATAATTTTAGTTAAGCTTAAAAAAAAGTGATAATATTGACCAACAACCCGTGCAACGCACGGGTCCATATCTAGTATACATATGATAATGAATTAATGATGATATGTTTTGTTAGGTTTAATCTCGGTTTACTCTTCAAGCCGGTTCATGAATCTGAAACAGATGAACTTTTGTCTATTAGATGTGAAGCTGTGACAGCCCATTTCGTATCGGTGGTCCAGAAGTGAAGTTGATGAGTAATGAAATCTTTCCCAGCGCTGCATATAACGTAAGCTGTTAAAGGCGATTTATTTTGGCTTAACTTGCATATCGTTTTAGTGTGGCATTCAACATTTTAACCAATGACCAAATTTCTTGTAGTGTCACACCACTTGTTAATTTGCAACTTGCAACCATTTGAAACTCTAGTTGTAAAACAAAAGCTCTGAGTCAAAAAGAATAAAATAAACAATTAACAATTTAACTCAAAGATTACTTAGTCACTGCAGTCACGAGACTTTTATCTACTATTTCAATTTGGAATTAAAACAATGGACGTTTATTGTACAGTTACCAAATATGATTGTTTTGTCCATATGAAAAATTAAGATTTTCACTTACACCCTTTAATTAGAGAGATGGATGATCCATTAGCTATAGTTGAAACATTGTGTTTTGCGCGTCATAGCAAGAATCCGCATTGTTAAACCCTCCAAGCAGAACCTGACCGTACGAGTGAACGCCACTAATAGCGTTTCCAATCGTTATGTTGAAAGCATCTGCATGGGTTCCATTGTTATCCGTTGGGTTCCAAGGAAATGCGGTTAGCCTTGAACGCTGCTCTCCAACAACAATGGAGCTCTTACTGGTCTCCAAAGAGGCTTCGTCTTCGAGATTCACGGTGGTTATGTCGTGAATGCTTGCTCGTCTTTTGTCCTTGCCGCCAGGAAGTTGCCGGATAAAGTACTTTTGGGCGTGGCTAGCGACTTGTGTTGGCGTTCGCGTTATCACAAAGTTCCGAGATATGTTTCTCCAATCTCCTTTCCCGTATTTCTTCAAACCCATTAGAAATAGCCTGAATTGTGACAAATATTGAATCAAATATATTTACATACATTACAAAACAATATCAAAATGTAAATGTTGTATGAATCTTCACCCAGATAAATTGTTCAATCTAGGTTTGATGGGTTATATATATGTGATTAGGCCAGATTTTACAGCTAAACATTGTTGCATAATCGTGAATCATACTACGATTATGCATGCATTTGTTCAAGCCAACTAGAAATAGCCGGATTGTGACAATATCTAATCAAAGATATTTTCATAAAGTTATATACCACACAATATTATACTATCAAATTAATCACCTTATTCCGGTTTAATGACAATTCCCAATAAACCGGAAAATAACAGAGACTTACTTGTGTTCTTCTTCCGTCCAAGGAACGCCTTTCTTCCTCTCCAGTTCCGGCGATCTACCGGCCGGGGACCGTTTGTTACAAACCTGATGACCCGGGTTGAACCCGTTACAACCGCCACCGGCCCAATCTAGAGTGAAAGGCGGCGAGGTGATGTAACCAGGGACCGGGATTAAACCGGCCTCGATGCTGCTGACGTCAGCTTCCAGATCGTTGTACTGTCTAATGACGTCACTCACGGTCTTCCCCGGAATCACCGCCGCCACCTTCTGCCACCGATCAGGAGTGTTGTCGTCGTAAACCGCCAAAGCATTCTCGAATGCCTTGTTCTCCGCCGCCGTCCACGTGGCACCTTCGCCAGAAGCTGCGACGGCGCTCTTAGTCTCGTCCATAAGCCAGTTCCCACCGGACACGTGTGACGTCGTCGGCCTCAGAACCTCCATGTCCGAAAACTAAAACCTAGCTCTGTTTTCTTTTTAATTTTTTTTTACGATAAGTAAGAACAAATCATACCGACAAAGGTCAACGGATTTACGAATTTCCCAAAGATAATATTAAAATTTTTGGTTTATTGATGGGAAGGAAGAGATAAGAGAATCAAAGCAAGAACACAAAAATCACTATCAAATGATACTTCACTTTTATTTTGTTTAGAGAAGAAACCATAGGAATTTCTTTGAAGCATTGCTTAGACCCACACCCACTTCAAGGAATCTATAAAAGTTTTATCCTTTTGCAAATGAATTGAGTAAAATCTAGTCGAAATCTGGTTAGTGAGTCAAAAAGAGAGAATTTTTAGGGTAGCTCTGAGATTTTGCAAAACGAATCTATTGGTTTTCCAGATTTGGTGGAGCTAATAAGCATGAGTGGTATTTAAGTATCAGAGACTCAGAGTTAAAGAGATTTAAAAAGCTGGGTGTGGATAATATTTCTCGGGAAAATAAACATATGGCTACAGAAAATGAAAAAAAAACAAAAAACAAAAAAAAAAATTAGGAAAACTATAACGTGCAAGAAGAAGCAAATGAGCCCATAAATGGAAAGAAAACTAAAACCAGAAACCAAATTATAAACTTTTCATGAGTAAAAAAAACGAGAGAAGTAGGCAAAGAAAGGAGGTGACGATTTGGGCTCTTATAGTGCTGTTCTTGAGAAATTAATTTTTGGGTGATACTGTTTATTTATTTATTATTATTATATATTGCATAAAATTAAAGATTTGATTCTCTTTTTTTACTCCTTCATACTTTTTTGTCACCTTACTTAACAGTCAATACATCATTCTCAGTTTTGGGTAAAATGGCTGAAATTTTGTCAATCTAGTCGTTTTAAATGGACACGGAAATGAGAATAGTTCATGATTAAAACACGTATAAAATTTGAAATAAAAAAATTGTTCACAATCGTCTCTATATACCAAATGTCACATTTTAAATGTGGTCCATTTTTCAATTCATTCTATTGTTTTTATTTTATTTTTATAAATTGTTTAATTCTATTCACTATTTTTTTTAAAACACTAATTTGCAATTTATAACTATTTTATGTTAGGTTATTTCTTAATCTTGAATACTATTACAGTTTTACTATTTATACAGTCATTAATCACAACTATCATTCAAATACCAGTAAAACATAACTGCATTTTTACGACTTTTGAAATTATAAGTATAGCTACTAAATTAGTAAATTGGACCCTAAACAGTTTAAAGTTCTTTTCAATGGAAAAGTAACTAATTGATTATGATCGATGGAATGTGTTTATACTACATTACTACTGTCTTCGTATTAACGATACTAGTTTAAATGGCGTAAAAAGTATTTTAGAGTTCGAACTAAATATAAAGCGATTAAGTTAACAATAAATTTGAAGTGTTTGTGTAGTCTTATAATTTGGAAGAGTAAAATACTGCACTGCACTTGGTTTGGTTTGGTCATACGGGAAGACATGAAAAATATAAATCGGTAACCTCTGAGAAAAGAGACAAAAAAAAAAAGAATTGACCAAAAATTCCGTGATCGATAATAATGCTGGTGACCACTAATAAAATGTGAAAAAAAAAAAATACTGTAATTGACATTAAGACAAAAAAAAAAAAAAAAAAAAAAAACCGAAGAAAATACCCAAATATTTTTTTTATGATTTTATTTATTTAATCTAAAATACGCGAAGTTGACATTTTTTGGGAGTGTACGATGCCTCTCAAAACAATACCAAGTTTTCAACATTAATATTAAACTAATACTAGCAATATACTACGTTATTGATGATGATACTTCTGTGTACTTTTATAATCTTTATATTCACTGATTACGTACAGTTTATTTTAATATTGGCAAATTGGGATTTTATGTGTCAGATGAGGAAAAAGGAGCCGCCAAATGAACGGTCGAGATCAGTGGTAACTTACATGGCCAAGTTGTACAAAGGGGTCCACGTGAGATCCGCGTTTTGCATTATCACTGGTCGGTCCTCTCTCTCTTTTATTGTTTTACTTTCTTTTATTTTCTGTTTTTTTTAAGATCTCGAGGAATCTGTCTTCTCCATTATGATTTCTTCACGTGGCTGATCCCTGTACGTTAGATCTATTCATTATGATTTAATGTGCTGTGGACACGTAAGATCTTCGATTGCTCCCAAATTGGTTTGGTTTGGTAACGTTCATAGTGGTGTTTTGGAGCATAGATTCTATGGAGGTTATTATTAGTAATCAGATCGATTTTTGAAACATATTTTTGTAAATAAATTTCGTATAAATTACTGCATTAAATAAAACTTTGTGATAAATGAAAAAGAAAGAGTATATTGTACTCCCTCTGTTTCAAAATATAAGATGTTTTAAACATTTTATTTTGTTTTATATTATAAGATGTTTTGCAAGTTTATATGTAAAATTTAATGCATTTGATCATTTGTGACCATTTATATTCTACAGTATTTTATATGATTGGTGAAATATGTTTTTATTAAATACAAATCAAAATTTTTTAAAATAAAAACAAACTACCTAAATATGTGTGTTTTTCTCTTAAACATCTTATAATTTAAAACAAATGGAGTAATATTTTACGAGATGGTTAAATGGTACATCACTAAACTACCCCGTATCTCTTAATTTATTCCCTTTAGCAAGAATGTCAAGTTGATTTTATGGTTGAGTTTCTATCACAATAGTTGACCATCGCATGGGTTGTCTTTTATTCAAAATACCATAATGATTCTACTTCACATTTTTTTTTTAATGTTTTTATTTTAATTATGATTATGAAGAATCTTGGAACATGTCAAAGATATCCATTACTGAGTTTCGTACAACATAACATTCCTCATCTCACGGATCACATAGATATATATTAAATTGTCCTAATTACAATGATTATTGTTAATTACATTTTAGTCAAAGAGATTATTGTTTACGCTGGTAAGCTTGTGTTACGTGGCCGCTAATGGTACTATACCGTACTTAAGAGAATAGTATATTTTTATATCACCTTAATCCAGCTCAAAATGTTTAAATTGATCTTGATCAATTACTATTAGAGAAAAACTTTTGTCCCCCAATCATTTTTTTTGAATAATAAAGAGGTTTTGGATCTAGATCCGGTTACCTCTAGGCTTTGTCCGAGAATCTTTATCAGTTGAACTATTGACATTTGGTAATTTTCAATTACGATTTTTGTATTAATCTAATTAGGAGTTTCTCCACTAACGTTATCTTATCAAAAAAAAAAAACATGTCATATTAATCTAAATATAATTAGAAAATACTACATTCTTTTGGAATTACTCAATTGCCAAAAAATGGTTTGACCAAACACTTTAAACCATCTTTTTTTTTTTTTTTGTCATCCGCAATTAATTAGAATTCAAAAGAGCCATTCCTGGGGAATGTTGTTTACATAGGTGATATGATGCGGTTCTGTACGAACATTTCGTGCCAGATTATCCGCCTTAACATTAGCCCTACAAGAAATTAAAGATAAAGAAAAAGATGAAAACTCCTCCTTGTCACTCTGAAATTCCTCCAAATACACTGAAAACGCCGGCCATTCAGTTGGAGAAGACACCATCTTCACCAGGTCTGAACAGTCTGTAAAGAACGCTACCTCTTGATTATCTGCACCAATCATACACTTCATCGCCCAGAGAAGGGCCTCGACTTCGGCATGTAGTGGAGATAGACTTCTACGGAGGTTCGCAGCTCCCATGGTTGGCGGCTCTCCATTTGACGATGTACAGAACCAGCATGTACCGGAGAACTTATCACTTTCTTTCCATGATCCATCCACAAAACAACGGTATCCCGAATACTCCGTATCAAGTGAAAAATCCCTCACTCGATCTTGATTTACCAAGTCCACAGAACCATGATTTTCATTATGGAGCTCAATTTGAGCTGACTGCCACAATTGTGCTTCTTTTTCCGCTAATCGTAATACTTCTGCTAGGTTTGTATCTATGTTTTCAAATACCTTTTCGTTCCTTGCTTTCCAAATATACTAAATAATCCATCTAATGTCATTTCATATGAAAAGGATATCGAAGTGATGATCAGATCACTAAGAATGAAATCGTCAATGTTAAAATCTTTTGCACATGTTTCATATATGTAAAAATGCTAAACTAATTCTTTAACCCCCAAAAAACTGTTAAATTAATTCTATGTATGATGTGTGGTTGCCAGATTGCCAAAAAATATAAAGTATGTCATTGTCAGAATTTGTAATATATGCATGTTTTACTTTGGCATATTAATGATTTAATCAAGTTTCTTATTGAACAGGATGTTCACATCCTAACCGTATTATATTTATTTTGGAATTCTTATTGCCCCTTTGACTTTCAAGGAGGTATATGCAGGGGAAGGTCTAAATGTTGGAGAGGCATGGCAAATGGCAATAATTGAATAGCAGTTTTTGCCACTTTTGGAACAACTAATAATAGGGATTATTGTTGATTTTGCCCTTTTTTATCAAAATCTTTTGAAAATGCCATTTTCATTAAAATCTTACGGATTTGCCATTTTTTACACTTAAAAATGTACGTATTTACGATTTTTTTTTGGCAAAAATACGTAGTTTATACAAAATACTAAACCCTAAGAACAACCACAACCGACTAAACCCAAACATAACGAATAAAACGCATGTTAAATCATATTTCCGTAGCTTGAAAAAGGGTAAAATCCATAAACTATTCAAAAAAGGGCAAAATCCACAAATGCCATCCAAAAAAATGGCAAATCCATAATTGATTCACTAATAATATCCCCCAAACAAATTTTCCCATTAATAGAAGTCTTCCAAAATAATTACTTTTTTATTAATTTACATACTAACATCGGTATTATTTTAGACTAATATTTCAAGCAAGGAATAAGTCTTCTGTTTAAACTGGAAATTAAAATCATACTGAGGTTTTAGTGCACCAAGGGGCAAACGTCTTGCGAAATGGGTGAAACATCCAAAATCTTTTGGAATCAATTCCCTGACAATTTGTTTATTTACTCATATAAATAATTATTATTATGATATTGTCATGGAAATTGTGATTCCAGTATAGCTCGATAATTTATACACATGTAAATAGTTGTTTATTCATATGAACAAACAGAAGATCTTATCAAAAAAAATATATATGAATAAACAGAAGTATTTTATATAAAAAAAAAAAAAACAGAAGTATCCAATCAAATGGTTACATACGAGCTACCTTCCACATCTGCGTTTTATGAGTTCAATACGACGCCCTCTTGTGTTACACAACTTACCCTCCCAAAATCTGCTACATCAACTTTCTCTATCATTTTGTATTTCACAACAGGGTAGTGCCGGCCCGATCAATTTGGGTGGCCTAAACAAAATTAAAGCCTATAATATTTTTTTTTTTAAATTAGATTTTTACTCTTAAAAAATGTTGTAGTTGTCCCTAAAAACCCACAATATTTTTAAAAGACCCTACAAAAATTATTGTATATAAGAAAACTTAACAAATTTTTAGGTAAAAAGGCTCTCAAAATTTTGAGACCCTAATCGATGGCTTCACTGGCTTGTCCTCTCCGCCGGGCCTGCAGCAGTGTCTATCAGATTTTAAATTCGAATATCTTGGAGCTTTTTAGGACTTCCACGATGTGAGGGTTATGAAATGTTGAAATAGAGAGAAAAATAAGGGAAAAGAAATATAGTCTAATGGTGAGAGATTATGACGACTTAATTGGACAATATCCGTGTGTAAATTATAAACAGAAAAAAATCATTTAA